TTATTGATTATTAATATATCTATCATACTTTCTACATGTATTGATTATCTGTATTTATTGTTTATTGGTTTTATATCTTTGACTATTGATTGTGTGTTAATGTAACAATAACAACAACAACAACAACAATAATAATAATAATAATAATAATAATAATAATAATAATAATGATGATGATTGATGATATTATTGATTGATTGATTGATTATTGGCGTGTCCTGCTGCTGTCGGTGTGAAACAGTCCAGACAGGAGGTGATGATGTCACTGCGAGAATGATCACATGACCCTCGTCAACGAATCAGAGACCGCCTTTCTTCTTCTTCTGTCGACTTTTAGTGAATTTGAAGTTTGGCCTCCAGTCGTCCATCAATCGGTTTATTGATCTGTCCGTCCCGGCAGCACTCTGTGTGTGTGTGTGTGTGTGTGTGTGCCGGGCGCCGTCGCAGGCCGATGACATCATCTCTAGAGGCCCAGCGACTTGCGGACGATCTTCTGAGCGAGTTTGTAAAACTGCTCGCGATCTTCACGCCACATTTTAGAGGCGTCGACGTTAGCGCCGCTTTCATCATTAGGCTCTAAAGGAAACACACACAGAGGGAGGAAGACTGTGATGAAGACTGTGATGAAGGCTGTGATGAAGAGTGTGATGAAGACTGTGATGAAGGCTGTGATGAAGAGTGTGATGAAGAGTGTGATAGACTGATGAAGGCTGTGATGAAGAGTGTGATGAAGAGTCTGATGAAGAGTGTGATGAAGGCTGTGATGAAGAGTGTGATGAAGGCTGTGATGAAGAGTGTGATGAAGAGTGTGATAGACTGATGAAGGCTGTGATGAAGAGTGTGATGAAGACTGATGAAGACTGATGAAGGCTGTGATGAAGAGTGTGATGAAGAGTGTGATGAAGAGTGTGATGAAGAGTGTGATGAAGAGTGTGATAGGCTGTGATGAAGGCTGTGATGAAGAGTGTGATGAAGGCTGTGATGAAGAGTGTGATGAAGGCTGTGATGAAGAGTGTGATGAAGAGTGTGATGAAGAGTGTGATAGGCTGTGATGAAGAGTGTGATGAAGAGTGTGATAGACTGTGATGAAGGCTGTGATGAAGACTGTGATGAAGAGTGTGATGAAGAGTGTGATAGGCTGTGATGAAGAGTGTGATAGAGTGTGATGAAGAGTGTGATGAAGAGTGTGATGAAGAGTGTGATGAAGAGTGTGATAGGCTGTGATGAAGAGTGTGATGAAGGCTGTGATGAAGAGTGTGATGAAGACTGTGATGAAGACTGTGATGAAGAGTGTGATGAAGGCTGTGATGAAGGCTGTGATGAAGAGTGTGATGAAGAGTGTGATGAAGACTGTGATGAAGAGTGTGATGAAGAGTGTGATGAAGAGTGTGATGAAGAGTGTGATAGAGTGTGATGAAGAGTGTGATGAAGAGTGTGATGAAGACTGTGATGAAGGCTGTGATGAAGACTGTGATGAAGACTGTGATGAAGGCTGTGATGAAGAGTGTGATGAAGACTGTGATGAAGAGTGTGATAGAGTGTGATGAAGAGTGTGATGAAGAGTGTGATAGAGTGTGATAAAGAGTGTGATAAAGAGTGTGATAAAGAGTGTGATAGAGTGTGATAAAGAGTGTGATAGAGTGTGATGAAGAGTGTGATGAAGAGTGTGATGAAGAGTGTGATAGAGTGTGATGAAGAGTGTGATGAAGAGTGTGATAAAGAGTGTGATGAAGGCTGTGATAGAGCCTGATGAAGACTGTGATGAAGAGTGTGATAGGCTGTGATGAAGGCTGTGATGAAGAGTGTGATGAAGAGTGTGATGAAGAGTGTGATAGAGTGTGATGAAGAGTGTGATGAAGACTGATGAAGGCTGTGATGAAGGCTGTGATGAAGAGTGTGATGAAGAGTGTGATGAAGAGTGTGATGAAGAGTGTGATGAAGAGTGTGATAGGCTGTGATGAAGGCTGTGATGAAGAGTGTGATGAAGGCTGTGATGAAGAGTGTGATGAAGAGTGTGATAGGCTGTGATGAAGAGTGTGATGAAGGCTGTGATGAAGAGTGTGATGAAGAGTGTGATGAAGAGTGTGATGAAGAGTGTGATGAAGAGTGTGATAGGCTGTGATGAAGAGTGTGATGAAGAGTGTGATAGGCTGTGATGAAGGCTGTGATGAAGGCTGTGATGAAGAGTGTGATGAAGAGTGTGATGAAGAGTGTGATGAAGAGTGTGATAGAGTGTGATGAAGAGTGTGATAGAGTGTGATGAAGAGTGTGATGAAGAGTGTGATGAAGAGTGTGATGAAGAGTGTGATAGGCTGTGATGAAGAGTGTGATGAAGGCTGTGATGAAGAGTGTGATGAAGAGTGTGATGAAGAGTGTGATAGGCTGTGATGAAGAGTGTGATGAAGAGTGTGATAGGCTGTGATGAAGGCTGTGATGAAGGCTGTGATGAAGAGTGTGATGAAGACTGTGATGAAGACTGTGATGAAGAGTGTGATGAAGAGTGTGATAGAGTGTGATGAAGAGTGTGATAGAGTGTGATGAAGAGTGTGATGAAGACTGTGATGAAGGCTGTGATGAAGACTGTGATGAAGGCTGTGATGAAGGCTGTGATGAAGAGTGTGATGAAGACTGTGATGAAGAGTGTGATAGAGTGTGATGAAGAGTGTGATGAAGAGTGTGATAGAGTGTGATAAAGAGTGTGATAAAGAGTGTGATAGAGTGTGATGAAGAGTGTGATGAAGAGTGTGATGAAGAGTGTGATGAAGAGTGTGATGAAGAGTGTGATAGAGTGTGATGAAGAGTGTGATAGAGTGTGATGAAGAGTGTGATGAAGAGTGTGATAAAGAGTGTGATGAAGAGTGTGATAGAGTGTGATGAAGACTGTGATGAAGGCTGTGATGAAGGCTGTGATGAAGGCTGTGATGAAGAGTGTGATGAAGACTGATGAAGGCTGTGATGAAGGCTGTGATGAAGACTGTGATGAAGATGGTACCTGCTAACATGCTGACCACTGACAGGAGGATCTTCTCCACACTCTGGACGGGACTCCATCGCTCTGCACTGCTCTCATATCCCATCGGATCATCACCAGGAGCATGGAGGATGGAGATACACACTCTACCATCTGGGTAGACTGCAGGAGGAGGAGGAGGAGGGGGAGGAGGGGGGGAGAGACAGGAGGAGGGGGAGAGACAGGAGGAGGAGAGACAGGAGGAGGAGGAGAGACAGGAGGAGGAGAGACAGGAGGAGGAGGAGAGACAGGAGGAGGAGGAGGAGAGACAGACAGGAGGAGGAGGAGGAGAGACAGGAGGAGGAGGAGGAGAGACAGGAGGAGGAGGAGGAGAGACAGACAGGAGGAGGAGGAGGAGAGACAGACAGGAGGAGGAGGAGGAGGAGGAGGAGGAGGAGGAGGAGGAGGAGGAGAGACATTATCAGTGAATCAGTCATTATCAGGTGATATAAGTTCTTCCTGTTGACTCATCAGCGGGAATCGAACCATCAACCTGCTCACTGACAGATTCTGAATATTTATCTGATCAATAACTGATACTCTGATTTTATTGATTGTGTGTTTCAGACTGTTTCTTCTTCGTGTGTTTTATCTGGACCTGCTACTGTGTGTGTGTGTGTGTGTGTGTGTGTGTGTGTGTGTGTGTGTGTCTGTGTGTGAGAGATGATGATGATGATGATGATGATGATGATGATGGGTCCCCGTCCTGTAATCAGTACTGAGCGTGCTCAGACCATGCTGTGACATCATCTCTCAGGCACGGTGCTAATGACAGCATGCTAACGACATGCTAGCAGCGTGCTAACAGCAGGTTGTGACTCGTCCGATGACAAACAGCAGATCAGAGAGCGAGGAAGGTCAGGGGTCAATATGGTGACAGCCTGATGGTGGCGCTGCAACAACAACAACAACAACAACAACAACAACAACAACAACAACAACAACACCACCTGTGGATGTGTGACTCACTGTTGGGGTGAAACATGTCGCAGGTGAACCTCATCTTCGGAGGACTCAGAGGGTAATCGGACGGGAAGCTGAGGACGGCCGGAAACACGCCGCCTTCAAAACACGTGTCCTGAGGACCCCTGAAACACACACACACACACACACACACACACACACACACACACACACACACACACACACACACACACACACACACACACACACACACACACACACACACACACACACACTGTTAGATCCACCAGCCCTTTACAGGTGAAGTTGAAGCAGCCTTTTTAGGTTCTAGTGGTCACTGAGGTGGTTCTAGAGATCCTTTAGATGGTTTAAGTGGTCATAGAACAGGTTCTAACAGTCTATTGGGGGGTTCTACGGTTCCTGCAGTTCCTGCAGGAGGTTCTACGGTTCCTGCGGTTCCTGCAGGAGGTTGTACGGTTCCTGCAGGAGGTGGTACGGGTCCTGCAGGAGGTTGTACGGTTCCTGCAGGAGGTTGTACGGTTCCTGCAGGAGGTGGTACGGGTCCTGCAGGAGGTTCTACGGTTCCTGCAGGAGGTTGTACGGTTCCTGCAGGAGGTTCTACGGTTCCTGCGGTTCCTGCAGGAGGTTGTACGGTTCCTGCAGGAGGTTGTACGGTTCCTGCGGTTCCTGCAGGAGGTTATACGGTTCCTGCAGGAGGTTATACGGTTCCTGCGGTTCCTGCAGGAGGTTGTACGGTTCCTGCAGGAGGTTATACGGTTCCTGCAGGAGGTTGTACGGTTCCTGCAGGAGGTTGTACGGTTCCTGCAGGAGGTGGTACGGGTCCTGCAGGAGGTGGTACGGGTCCTGCAGGAGGTGGTACGGGTCCTGCAGGAAGTTCTACAGTTCCTGCAGGAGGTGGTACGGGTCCTGCAGGAGGTGGTACGGGTCCTGCAGGAGGTGGTACGGGTCCTGCGGTTCCTGCAGGAGGTTGTACGGTTCCTGCAGGAGGTTGTACGGTTCCTGCAGGAGGTTGTACGGGTCCTGCAGGAGGTGGTACGGGTCCTGCAGGAGGTGGTACGGGTCCTGCAGGAGGTTCTACGGTTCCTGCAGGAGGTGGTACGGGTCCTGCAGGAGGTGGTACGGGTCCTGCAGGAGGTGGTACGGGTCCTGCAGGAGGTGGTACGGGTCCCTGCGGTTCCTGCAGGAGGTTCTACGGTTCCTGCAGGAGGTTGTACGGGTCCTGCAGGAGGTTGTACGGGTCCTGCAGGAGGTGGTACGGGTCCTGCAGGAGGTTCTACGGTTCCTGCAGGAGGTGGTACGGGTCCTGCAGGAGGTGGTACGGGTCCTGCAGGAGGTGGTACGGGTCCTGCAGGAGGTTCTATGGTTCCTGCAGGAGGTGGTACGGGTCCTGCAGGAGGTGGTACGGGTCCTGCAGGAGGTTCTGTTGGGTGTTGAACAGATTTCAGGAGTTCCTCAGTGATCAGTGATGTGTCAGCAGCGGACTATCTGAGCTCAGGTGGGAGTTTGAATACGAGGAGTTATCAGTGTTCCTGATGTTCTATCTGCAGGTTATCTCTGACTCCTCTACGGTTACAGCTCACTGACCACACACACGCTCTCATTGGCTATCAGCCGGCCAATCAGCAGACACTTCACGCACATCTGAGGCAGGCGAGACGGCGTTTTATCAGTTTAACAAAGCTCTGATATAAAACCAGAAGACAGAGGCTGCTGTCTGAGACCCGCTCTGATAAAGTCTGACTAACAGATCTGGATCTGGATCTGGATCTGGATCCTGATGTGTGTTTGATCTGAAGCCTCTCACACAGCTGGAGGCTCCTGGTTGTTTATCACTCATTTGAAGCGGCGGTCTATAAAATACTGCTCACTGTGATATAAACAGGGAGAGGTTCTCACACTGGACTGATTAATCAATAATCAATAATCAGAACAGTTGCCAGTAAATGTTTGTTGATGTCTGAAGGTGGTCGCTGAATCAGCAGAAACTCCACAGCGACAATAACATCAAAGACTCACACTGCCCCAGGTAATTATGGGATACAGTGAGGTCACAGTGAGCAGGAATGTGGACTGAAGCTGCTGGCACGCCAACAACAACAACAACGACAACAACAACGCCAACAACAACGACAACAACAACAACAACGGCAACAACAACAACAACGACAACAACAACAACAACTACGGCGACAACAACAACAACAACAACGCCAACAACGCCAACAACGACGATAACGACGACAACAACAACGACAACAACGGCAACAACGGCGCCAACAACAACAACAACAACGACAACGCCAACAACAACAACAACGACAACAACGACGATAACGACGACAACAACGACAACAACGACAACGACGACAACAACAACGACAACAACAACAACAACAACACACTCAGTGTGACATATACAAACAATATGATCAATATGATCAATATGATCAATGATATTTACACAATAAAGCCACAGACTGAACTTCCTGTTTGACTCCAGGTTATTGATCCAGTTCAGACTGCAGGAGTCCAACAGTGATCAGTTCTGGATCAATACAGTTCTTTATGGATCCTCCACACTGATTGATTATTGATTATTGATTAATGATTACTCACATGATCAGAGCCTCCCACTCAAAGAAGTTCTCCTCGTTAGCCGGACCTGCACACAACAACCACAGCGTGTCTCTAGTTAGATACAGTTGATCATATCTAATGAAGCTGATCAGTGTTTATATTGATTATATTGATCCTCTGATTGTATCTTTGTATGTATATGATGATGTCACACTGCTTTAAGGATTCATCCATATTGTTTATATTCTGTTTCTAGAAGCTCTTTCATCAGGAGCATCGATCAAACCTTTAGTTTAACAATCGCCATTAAATCCACAGGAAGTGATCAGAAAGCTGTTTTATAATCACAGTGAAATCAATAATCAATATGTTTGATTTCAGACCAAGAGAAAAACAATAACAATCAATAACAGCTCAGACATCATCAGACTCACCTGCGACGATCCCCTCAGGTGGGTTCAGAGTGAGCTCTGAAACACACACACACACACACACACACACACACACACACACACACACACACACACACACACACACACGCACGCACACACACACACACACACACACACACACACACACACACACACACACACACATTAACAACAACAACAACAACAACGTAAGCTCTTGTTCAGGAGGTGGCGGCTGCAGAATCAATATCATTAATAATAATGTTTATTAGTAACAGTGAGTGTCACGAGTGTTAGATGACCTCTGACCTTTCCTCCACGGCTATCTGTGCTAGCATGCTAACAGCGAGCTAATGCTAAAGAGCTAACAGTTCAAACAGGAGTTAACACTAATGCTAGCAGCTAAGGCTAGCCCCGCTATACTCCCGCTGCACCAAACTCCATTAAAGAAACATCAGATTTATTATTATAACACACAATATATCGTTATTTAGCATTATAGCTTCCTAGCCCGGTACTGACTCTTTAGTTCGGGTTGCAAACATTAGCTTCACTTTACTTCCTTTATATTAAATTAACGTTAAAATATCTCTGAAGTGACATCACGGCCGGCTCCGCAGAGCGCTGACGATCCACTCAAACTAACTCTATAATATTATATAATGTCTTATTTTACCGCCATTAAAGCTTCTCAGGGAACATAAAGCATCCGGAGTTTAAGTTACAGTTCACTCTTTTATCACACTTTAATATTTATGTTTCAAATCCCGAGCGACGCAGCCGAGGGGCAATAATAATAATAACAGCCGTTTCTTGAATGGAGTTTGGTGCAGGAGCTCACGGGACTGTTAGCTTAGCCTGTTTGCTAACCGTCCCAGTCCTCCCATTGGCTGGCGGAGGCGTTACGACACCGCTTCCGTTCACTCACGTTTATACTCCGCCATGAGTCTCTTCAGCGCGGTTCCCGCCATCGGTTTACCGGAGAACACACGGTAACAACAACAACAACAACAACAACAACAACCAGCTCCGAGTTTCTACTTTCTAACTTCACAACCGAGTTGTCGCCACAGCTGATCTAGCGCGCATGCTCAGACCGGAGTTTCCTGTAGTGTAGTGTGAGCGTCAGCCGGCAGCGCCCCCTGGTGGCAGAGTGCAACTACAGCTCCAACACTAACACTGCACCACTGTATGTTTATATATTTATATATTTATATATCAGTGATTATAACTGATATATTCTTCCTTTATTGATCCCTCAGTAGCACAGGGAAAGAGTAAAGAAAGAATAAAATATAATAACAATAAAATATTCACATTATATACAATAAAACTGAACATGCCAGATCTACCAGCAGCACTTTAATCACAGTTGTTTTTACAATATAAACTTATATATATATATATTTATTATGTAACTGTAGCAGCTGAGTGCGATCACATTACCAAACACCTATAGTAAAAACTAGTAAAATACTTTGACTGAATGATCAATGATAATAATAATATTACTATAAATATAAGTTATTTTAGTGCCAGCACAGATCTGTAATAGTTGTAATAGTAAATTTGAAATGTTCAAACTGAATATTGTTCATTAGAAATTTCACAGACTGAAAATGAATCTTACGGCTTGGATAAACTTCCTCTATTAAGAGCATCTTCACTGCTTTAGGTAATAATTAATACAGAATATCAACATGCAACAGACATCCAGAGATATAAGATATTTTAGAGTCGCCAACTCATCCAAATACGTCCAGGAACCAGCTCACATTGTGTTTGGGAGTAAAAAAATTCAAATATTCTGGACATCAATATGTAAAGAAATAAAATGATCTGACCTCTGCCCCGTAAACTGCAGACTGCACTCTGTCAGATATATCGACAGTGAGTGTCTTCATCCTGATTACATCATTTATTACATTCACTCTGGATTTCTGATTGTTTGCTGTGTAACAAGTTAAATAGACGAGTCATTAAGAAGTTTTAATTAGCACATTAATAACTTGTCCTGTGTAGCTAGCTAGCACTAGCACAGTAATATATGAACTATTATCACTATCAGCTTCAATGAGCTCAGATAATAATCCACAGATGGAGTCAGGAAGATTCCCTTTGTTTTAATTCCACATTGTCCTGAAACTGACTGCAGCCGAAGCTCAGAGACAGCGAGGGAGAGATCTATCTATCTCTAAGATAGAGCGAGACTGAACATAGAAACAAAATAAACATTTAAAAGTTCATTTGAACTCCTTTGAAGCGCAGTGTAACGGCCTCATCTTCTCTTGAGGTTTGTGTAGGAAGCGATAACGAAGACGAGGGTTGAGGAAGATTCTCTGATATCTGATGTTTTCACTTTAGAGAAGTTGCAGGAAGAATTCATGTTTTTATAAGAAAATGGGGGGAAACCCTGAATCCTGTAAAATCCTGAAGTATAAAGATCAATGTGTCTGTTATTGATCTTTACTGAATAATCTAAATGAATATAATAATAATTTAACTCCTGTTGCTTTTAACTTGTATTATTTTAATTTTGTAAGTTTTAAATTCAGAATTCAGTTTCAACAGAAACATAATTTGACACAAACTGTTTTATTTATTTCTTTATTGTTTCCTAAATTTAAAAGAAAAATAATATCAATAAAGTGAATTAATTAATTAAAGTTCTTCCTGTAAAACCAGATAACTTAATTTAATTAAACAAAGTGTTGAAACTGATAAAATTCATTAAGTAACACAAAACATTTTAGGTTCAAAAGATTATTGATTAAGCTGCTTTTACTCGTAATTTCACCTGATCAAAAATGTTTCTTTAACTTATAAAATTTAAATCAGTTTTAACAATGTTTTGAGTTAAATTAACTTATCTGGTTTTACAGTGTTTCTATCAAACATCACTGCCCTTCAAAATAAAGTCCAACATCATTTTATTGTTGTTTAAATGACGATGATATATTAATAATCACATTAATATGGTAACAACTCAAATATAAACAAATATAAACAAATCAGCTGCTGAGTTTATTTATTTTATTACGTTTTCTTCACTTTTTTCAGGGTTTTTTGTACAGAATCAAAGATTTTACAGATATTTACATTTTATATTGAATATATTAACATTATTTTATATTATTACTGCTTAAAGTCTTATAATGTAAAAGCAGATATGTGAATATTCATGTATTTAATGTACATTTATTGTATGAAAACTATTGAACAGTTTTCATTAAACTTGAATGAGATTAATGGATTTTGTTTCATTGTTAAAGGTTATAATTCTTATTAATACTGACATTTATATTAAAGATATTCGGTTTTAATGTGAAACATCAGCTTTAAAATCAAATCACAAGTTTGAATATTTTAAAATAGTTACAACATTTTATAGAACTGATTATAATGTTTATATTAATGAACACTGATTAATCTCTGATCGATCAATTATGACAGAAAACAATAAAAATCTGTATCAAAATAAAACATCAGTGTGATAAATAATAACAATAATAATAATAATAATAATATAATTACATTCATTAAGTCACATTATTGATTATAAACATGAATATTTCTGTTTCTGGCACCACTGAGCTTCCGTAAACATAAACAACAGAGTATTGATCTGTGATTAACGACTTATTGATTATGAGAAACAAATTAAAAACCACATTAATCAATAATCGATCGTTCAGTAACTATCAGACTGTAACCGGATGTGTTAAAGAATAAAGAGATTGATCCGATGGATGAATATCGGCTGTAATCGGACCTGATCAGCGGATCGATATCGGTGATCAGGCGGCTCTCTGGCAGCCTAGCAGCCGCTTCACGTGTCTGAAGATCTCGTTCATCTTCAGTCCGTAGACCACCGGGTTCAGCACGGTCGGAACCACCACCATCAGGACGGAGGTGAGGATGGACGCGGCGGGTTCGCCTCGCGCCTGCAGGCGACGCTGCAGCAGTTCGAACGACGTGCTGAGCGAATAGTTGACGAAGACGAGCAGGTGAGGAAGACAGGTGTGCAGCGCTTTGCTGCAAAAGGACCGCGAGCTCCGCAGGCAGACGGACAGCACGCGACCGTACGAGAACAGCACGAAAGCGGCGGGAAAGAAGACGGTGAGCGCGGCGCTGATCAGGCCGTACACTTCGCTCAGCAGCGTCGCGCCGCCGCCGCAGCTCAGGCTGACGAAGCTGTACACGTCACAGTAGATCCGGCTGAGCCGCGAGCGGCAGAGCGGCAAGCGGCTGGCCAGCAGCACCGCACCGCCCACCAGCGCGGCGGGAAGCAGCCAGCAGAGCAGCAGCAGCGCCGCTACAGCGGAAGGCGTCACCAGCGCGGCGTAGCGAAGCGGGCGGCAGATGGACAGGTAGCGGTCGAAGGCCATCGCCGACAGCAGCATGAAGCTGGACCCCCCCAGAGACATCAGCACAAAGGCCTGACTCAGACACCCGGACTGGGACACCTGCACGGCCTCGCTTCCCGACATCAAGTCGGACAGCAGTTTGGGGTAAACCGACGTGCCCGCGGCAACAGAGTTCAGCAGAACCGCAGCGACGAAGGCGAACATTGGTCGGCGAAGTGTCCGCTGCGAACAGATGAGATAAACAACCAGAAAGTCGGCGGACAGCACGAACACGTACAGAGACAGAAAGAGCGTGAACCACATCGACCTGTGCTCCGACAGCTGCGCGAGCCCCTCCAGCGTCAGTGACGTCACAGAGGTCACGTTAAAGCCCGCTGACGTCATAATGAACAACAAGCAGGTACAGATATAAACAAATAAACATATAAACATATAAATATACAGTTATACAGGCAGAGGTCAGTCAGACTCTGAACACGTGAAGACGAAGACGAAGAGCGGCTGTTTCCTCTCTGCTGCTTTTATGAGTCGGACCTTCATCCTCTGTGGAGCTCATTAACAACAACAACAACAACAACAACAACAACAACAACAGAGGACAAAAGACTTCACTAATCACATTAATTACAGCCTCATAAACAGTTTAATGGGAGCTTTAATTAACAGAAAATAAAGTCATAAAATATTCTGTAAAAACATTTAATGAATCCAATAACATGAAATAATCATTTAATTGAAACAGTTTGGTTTTATTATTTAAGCTGCAAATTAAAGATATTTATTCAGTAATCAGGTGTTGAATCCTTTAAATGATCTAATGGAGTGAAACATAAAATATTTAATATTAAATATTAAATATTAAATCTGACTCATCTGAACTAATAACAGAATAATCAGGTTGGTGTTTATGGTTTAAAAGTATAAAAACAGTAAATAGCAACACTGTCAGGAATCTTGGAGTTATCTTTGATCAGGATTTGTCATTTAACTCCCACATAAAGCAGACCTCTAGGACTGCCTTCTTTCATTTACGTAATATTACAAAAATTAGACACATCCTATCACAGACAGATGCAGAAAAACTAATCCATGCATTTGTTACTTCAAGGCTGGATTACTGCAACTCTTTATTATCAGGTTGCCCCAATAAGTCCATTAAAACTCTCCAACTAATTCAGAACGCTGCAGCAGAGACCTTCATCAACTAACTTCAATCATTTCTTCATCGAAGCCATCAACCTGTCTATTAGACCCGATCCCAACTAGGCTGCTTAAAGAAGTTGTTCCCTTAATTGGCACTTCTTTACTGGATATGATTAATCTTTCTTTATTATCAGGATATGTACCACAGTCCTTTAAAGTAGCTGTAATTAAACCCCTTCTTAAAAAGTCCACTCTTGACCCAGGGGTTTTAGCCAACTATAGACTGATTTCTAACCTCCCCTTCCTCTCTAAGATTCTGGAGAAAGTAGTCGCCAAAGAGTTGTGTGACTTTCTACATAACAATAGTTTATTTGAGAATTTTCAGTCAGGATTTAGAGTTCATCACAGCACAGAGACAGCTCTGGTTAAAGTTAATAATGACCTTCTGATTGCTTCTGACAATGGACTTGTCTCTGTACTTGTATTATTAGATCTTAGTGCTGCATTTGACACCATTGACCATAATATTCTTTTACAGAGACTTGGGCATCAAATTGGCATTAAAGGAACCGCACTAAGCTGGTTTAAGTCATATTTATCAGATCGCTCGCAGTTTGTACATGTTAACGATGAATCTTCAATAAATACTAAAGTTAGTCATGGAGTTCCACAAGGTTCTGTACTTGGACCAATACTATTTACTTTATATATGCTCCCTTTAGGCAACATTATTAGGAATCACTCCATTAACTTTCACTGTTATGCAGATGATACGCAGTTATATCTATCAATCAAGCCCGATGAAATTAATCAATTATCTAAATTACAAACATGTCTTAAGGACATAAAATCCTGGATGACCTGCAATTTTCTGATGTTAAACTCAGAAAAAAACGAAATTCTTGTTCTTGGCCCCAAAAACCTTAGAGACTCACTGTCTAAAGATATAGTTACTCTAGATGGCATTACCTTGGCCTCTAGCACCACTGTCAGGAATCTTGGAGTTATCTTTGATCAGGATTTGTCATTTAACTCCCACATAAAGCAGTCCTCTAGGACCGCCTTCTTTCATTTACGTAATATTAGAAAAATTAGACACATACTATCACAGACAGATGCAGAAAAACTAATCCATGCATTTGTTACTTCAAGGCTGGATTACTGCAACTCTTTATTATCAGGTTGCCCCAATAAGTCCATTAAAACGCTCCAATTAATTCAGAACGCTGCAGCACGAGTACTGACAGGAACTAGAAAAAGAGATCACATCTCTCCTGGACTAGCTTCTCTGCATTGGCTCCCTGTAAAATGTAGAATAGAATTTAAAATCCTCCTCCTCACCTATAAAGCTCTTCATGGTCAGGCCCCTTCATATCTTAAAGAGCTCATATTATTGTTATTATTATTATTACTATTGTCACTGCTCATTGTCCCCCATCATTGTCGTCGCCATCATCTTGTTCATGTTCATCATCATCAGTCACTACTATAATTGTAGTTGTTCCTACTGTTGTTGCTGTGCACCTGTCTGTCTGTCTGTCTGTCTGTCTCTGTCTCTCTCTCTCTGCCTCTCTCTCTTTCTCTCTCTCTCTCTCTCACCCCAACTGGTGGAGACAGACGACCACCCACCTAGAGCCGGAGGATCTGTCCTAGGTTTCTGCCTTTTAACAGGCAGTGTTTCCTTGCCCTTGTCTCCAAGGTCTTGCTCATGGTGGTACTGTTGGGTCTCTGTAATTAATGTTATAAGGAGTTCGGTCTAGACCTGCTCTATTTGAAAAGTGTCCTGAGATAACTCAAATAAAATTTAATTGTATTGTTTTGTAATATTAAAACCATTCAAAGGAAAATCTGTGAAACCGGAACTATGAAATGATTTTACAGGAGAAATAACTTCAATTATTTATTGATTTATTGATTAATGGACTGATGGTTTCAGTTGTACAAACTGTTGTTTAAAAAAGCTGTCGGATAAATGTAGTAAAGTAAAACGTTCATTATTACTATTATAAGTAGAAATACTTCAAATGTACTTCAGTGTAAATAAAGTTCTGTATGCAGATATAAGTGTGTGTGTGTGTGTGTGTGTGTGTGTGAGAGAGAGAGAGAGAGTGTGAGAAAGGTCAGAGGTCATCAGGCTGAACAAACAACAGATGATGTAACTGTAAATGATGTTTGTCCTGAGAGGACGGACCTTGTGGACTAAAGAGCTGCTGGTCTTAATGAGAGCTGATTAATGAGCCGCTCTCAGGTGACCTCATTAACTCACCTGAGCCACTGACCTCCGCCCAAACAGCTCGCGGTGTTTTTAACATTATTATTGTCGGTTTAACACAACAAAACAAACTTTCTACAGTCTGAAACCTGTTGGTCTCTGATACCCTTCAGTTCATCCTCATCCCAGCTTTATGGTCTGTTTTACTCTCAATGGGACCATCAGTTACTAAATGAACATCATGCTGTATGGAAGAAGACTGAAACTAGAGACTGAGACCAGAAACTCATCAGGAAACTGTTTACTGAGCTCATTAATCAACTTCTCCATAAGACTCAATACCATCAGAGTGGAGCTGCCCTCTGCTGGCTGTTAGAGACACTGCAGGTTAAACACACTGATTATAAAGACAGTGATCGATTGCACTGATCCACAAATATAAAGATGGACGACATGACGACTCTCTCTATCTCCCCCTGGTGGCTGAATGCAGTATAACTCATAAAGCCTCCATGTTAGCAGATGGGACAAACTAGCTTCTTATTTAGCATTTAGCTAACAGTAGCTAACTTAAGATGTGATTATATTTATGTCTCTCTTATCTTTTAACCATCTTTAAAATGTGGTTGTCTTTCCAACATACATTAGCTTAGCATGTCATGTCTTTTCACAAATTAACTTTAATATTGGCAGCCACGGACCTCCATAAAGAAACTTAAAGACAATATTTATATTTAAAAACTATTATTATTATTATTATTATATATCACACACACAGTCTCTGTTTGGTTTTGTGATCAATTTATTTGGTATCTGTGAGTAACTACAGTCGTAGTGTTCTCATACATGTCATCTGCAGTTCATCAAACTGATATATATTTATAAAAATTAGAGAAATATAATCTACATACATCTAATACAAAAACAAATCAGGAGTGAGTCCACTGCTTGCTTTAGTATTGGGGGGAGGGGGTAACTGTGACAAATTAAGTGCTGACGAAGATCTCCAAGAAGACGGATGCTCAAATGATAATATTATATTTATGAATCTGTGCATTAAATAAGTCTAAAAATAAAACATTCTTAAACAAACACACAAACAGGCCCAGTAAGTTTTAAACATGGTTCACACACACAAACACACTCCGGTGAAGTTTCTTTGGTTTCTGGTTGAACCCTCGAAGCCTTTAAATAAATGTTTTAAAGCACAAACAAACAGCTGGAATGTGGCAAAAAAAAAAGTTCAAAGAAACGACTTCGACATCAGCGTGAACGCGTTAAAAACGCGACGGAGACGACTTCAGATCGCGTCCGGTTTCTACCAGACGTACTGGCGGTCGGAGGTCAGGTTCGGCACCTAAAGCTGCTGCTGGAGGGATTTTATGGAAGATTTATCGATCGGTGATGGATAACAACACATCATCATCATAGAAACATTCAAATTCTCAACATATTTTGAAAGAAAAACTGGAGATTTTCTCTTAAATCTCTAAGTTGTAAAATGAGAAAATCCGAATTAAATCAAAGTTGTATCTTAAAACGACAGAATCGACATCTTATTTACAAGATACAGATTTCTTAATTCTGAGGTAAAATTTAGTAAATATAAGATATTTTCCTGAAATAACAATTTATCAGTTTATCTCATAATATCTGATAATTATTAATATTATGAAACTCATCTCGTAATGACGATATAAATCTTCTGTATGTCGCTACTGTGAGATAAGATCTTATAATTATTATGAAACTTATATTTTATTTTAACAAATAATTTTCTTAAAAGATTTCATAATTTGTATCTTGTAACTCTGATAATTCCAAGTTTTTAGATGCTGAGTCACAATTACACGATTTTATCTCATAGTTCTGATATTTAATCTTCATTCTGAGATAAAGATCTCGTCATTAAGAAATAAGTGATTTCATATTGTAATTATGGGATGTTGAGTCATAATTACCAATAAATAAATCAACATTATGAGAAAATGTCTCTAATTGCTTTCTGTGCCTCCAAACAAAACCTCCGAGATCAACTGTGGACTGTGTTTAGTTTTTGGGGGAATTTGAACAGAATTTAAATTATTTATTAATTAATAATCGTCAGCATTAAGGTGTTGAAGGCAGCTCACCGTGTGATAAAGGTCGTAAACTCTGAGCGTCACCGTGTCTCTGTAAGGCTAACAACGTAAGGCAGAGGTGATGTTAGCTGGAAGACGGTTTCAGGATAAAACCGCTGTCGAAGTCAAAAACACAAACGAGTCAGAAAGAAAAAAAAGTGCTCGAACAGAAGAACCAACATTTCTCAAACAGGGAGCAGCTAGATTACCAACTACAAATGGGAATATTCTTATTTCATTAATCATCATCCTGAGCTTTATACTGACAGAGCTGGGTCACATTAGCATTAAGGCATTTGGTGGCATGAGTTGACGGTTGGACTCCATTACCCAGAAGCACTGTGTGTCACTTTGTGTTAGCAGAAGAATAAAAACTAAATCTGAGACTGAGGTCGATGTTAAAATGGAAATACTGCTAATAAATAATATTAAATAAGCTGTGCTAATGTCACTGAGCGGGGTGGATTATACCAACATTAGCTACCAAGCTAACGATTTTAATTAATGCTCACATTAGCTAACAAACAGAAGCTAATCGGGAGTGTTTGAATTCTCCTAACCCCTAACCCTAACCCCTAACCCTAACCCCTAACCCCCTAACCCCCTAACCCTAACTCCCTAACCCCTAACCCCCTAACCCCTAACCCCTAACTCCCTAACCCCTAACCCCTAACCCCTAACTCCCTAACCCCTAACCCCTAACCCTAACCCCTAACCCCCTAACCCCTAACCCTAACTCCCCAGATCCCCGCTGCTAATTAGCTAATGTTTATCAGCTATTGAGCTAACATTAGTTAGAGTGACGTTAGCTCACAAACATTAGCTTCCTATCTGATTCTAGTGAAGTTAATAAACCCTGAACTCGTCTCAGGACGCTCAGACAGTTAATCAGTCAAATCTGGATCATCTTCAGGTGATTAATCTCATCTTCTTCCTGTTTGCATCCGCCACACCGTTAGCCGCAGCGCTAACATGCTAAACCACTTCTGGAGCTTTTATAAAGCCACTTTATTGTTAGGTGACCAAACTCTGAATATAAAGCTCTGTTTATCTCTGCCTTCATCATTCTTCCATCGTACCATCGTCTTCCTCACCTGGACTCCCACAGGGAGCAGGTCTGGTACACATACAGTACATTATCATGGTTCAGGTAGACAGAGAGCTAAAGTCCCGCGCCCTGCAACAACAACTACATCTCCCATGAGTCTCTGATGAAGGGGCCCTGGGAGCTGAATGTTATCATACCTTCCTTTAGTAACTCTTCATCAGTGTGCTTCCTTGCAAAGGTTTTCTGTCGGGATCTTTCGTATAGAGCTGAAACAAGATTTTTTTGAGCCATATCCTACAATTTTACCACCATTTTATCAGATATAACAATTGTTATTTTGTTAGCATTCAACAACTACATCTCCCACAATCCTCTGACACTGTACTGCTGTCTAAAGAATCATGGGAGGTGTAGTTTTTAACACATTAAAGCATCCTGTCAATAAACAAACGTTTCTGTTTACATCATGTGTTTCCTCGAGCTCTAGTGATCAGAACTTTTAAATTATATTATAATATGATGAAGATCCAGATATCTTGTTCCGTCTGTAAGAGGAAACCAACCAATGAACAGAGGCTAAGCTGAGGGGGGCGGGGCTTATGTTCTCCACGGGGTTCAGGTGGGCGGGGTTTAGCACACACTGTGACGAATAAAGAAAATCTTTTTTTGGTGTTTAGCGGGGGGGGGTTGGATCGGTCCTGCTCCGGTCTGACAGGATGAAGAGGATCAGCACCTCCTCCTCCTGTGGGAGTCCAGACCAACACTGCTTTATTCCTCCTCTTCCTCCTCTTCCTCCTCCTCCTCTTCCTCTCCAGCCATCACCTCCACCAGCAGCTCGGCGGTGCAGGTGGCCTCCCCCAGACTGTTGACCGCCTTCACCGTGTACTTCGCATCGTCGTCACCGGACACCTGCAGGTATCAATACCTCGTTAGTATGATTAATAATATTATTGATCAGTATACACTGTATCTTTATGGATGATATTGATCAGTATACACTGTATCTTTATGGATGATATTGATCAGTACACACTGTATCTTTATGGATGATATTGATCAGTATACACTGTATCTTTATGGATGATATTGATCAGTATACACTGTATCTTTATGGATGATATTGATCCTGTATTGACAGTCAGACTGTGGACATATGACGGCCTTTAGCTCGTGTTTCTAGAGTTACGTGTTGTTACGAACACGTTAGGAATTGTTAAAATGTGATATTTCTTAAAGGGAGTTTGGTGCAGGGAGCTTTTAGTTGGATTCAAACTGCTGATATGGATCATTGTTAACGTTTAGTCTCCACTACAGAAACACTAGCTAACTGCTGAAGGCTGATCAGGTTGATTGATGCTTTAATAATGGGAGTATTGATTACTGATCAGGATCATTATGTCTGATGGACAATATTTGTTCCTAAAGTAGCTGCTAACTGTCGCTTAGCACAGAGGTTCCCAACAACATTAGCTTGTAGCCAGGGCTCTTCTTCTTGTCTCCCACAGGGACACATTCACTGAGTGATACAACAGTTGACCTCTGACCTCTGAAATGACCAGACTGCAGTTTCCGTCTTCATCGTAGTCGATCTGAAAGTGTCGGGTCTCTTTGATGGGCTGGTCATCTTTGTACCAGACCACCTCTGGATCCGGGTACCCTGGAGACACACGGAGTAATTACATTAACATACACGAGCAGTCCTTTTTACCACTTCCTGTTTGTTTAGCGATGAATAACGTCGCCATGGCGATGGCAGCTTTCGTAATATTCACCTTCGATCTTGCAGTCGAAGCGAGCGGCGCTGCCCTCCACCACCTCAACGTCTTTAATGACCGAACTGAACGTCGGCTTACACTCCGTCTTCTGCTCGTACTCCAAACACTCCAGGAACTGGTTGTCCTCTGAACACACAGCAACAACAACAACAACAACAACAACAACATCAACAACAACAACAACAACAACAACAACAACAACATCAACAACATCAACAACAACAACATCAACAACATCCACAATAACAACAACAACATCAACAACAACAACAACAACAACAACATAAACAACAACAACATAAACAACAACAACAACATCAACAACAACAACAACAACAACAACATCAACAACAACTTAACAGACTCATATTTGTAGGAACGGGACAATACACTGTATTTTTATGTATAATGATAAAAACATTCAGATAAGTTTATTGTGGTGAGTTTTCATTATTGGAATAATCCTAAATATCCTCTCGAGGGACTGTAAGTATAGACCTTCCTTCTTTTATTGATTTCCTCATTTAATTTGTGTTCACCAGGGGGCGCCACATCTTTACAGTTGCCACCATGAAGAGTTTAACCACCAGACACTGAAGTTAAAGCAGGAATGTGTAGAAATACTCCTGTCACAAATATAAAATCTACAGTTTATCACAAGTATTTATTGTTTACGTTAAATTAAGTTAATTGAAGTTCACTCAAAACAACTGAGTTGCTTCAACAGTTGATTTTTGTGTTGTGGTTTAATGTGAACATTTATTAATATAATTGATTAGAGGATGATGAGCGCACACAGCTCCATTATAATTAATCATTATGACAGACCAGCTGCTCATTAACAGAACGAACACACGCCGTCCGCCGTACCTTCGGTTGGCGAGCCCTTCTTGGCGCTCACGCCGGCCATCATGGCCATGGACGACAGTCTGCCGATGGCTCGAACAGCGTGACCCGTTTTCTGCCGCAGAAGAAGAAACAGTCACATCGTTACTTCCTGTACTGTGATTGGTTGTTATTGATCCAGATTCACTGGGAACTATTTTCTCTGTGAGAGTCTGACTGTTGTTGTTGTTGTTGTTGTTTACCTGCCATTTTCTCCTCAGGATGTACTTCTTCATCCTCTCTTTGGAGAGCTTCTTGGCTTTCATGGTGTTAGTGTCCTGTTTCAACCAGGCGTGTTCGTAACACTTAGCACAGGTGAGCCGAGCCCTGACACACACACACACACACACACACACACACACACACACACACACAGTATAAACAACAGGTCACCTGCTGTCAGCGTCAGACAGATCAATCAGATATTTTCTCACTTCATGTCTTTCTTCAGCAGGTTGGTGATGAAATCTTTGGCGTTGTCGGAGATTTCATCGAACGCCTCGTCCTCAAAGTCCCAAGTGGCCGAGGTCACGTTGGACAGGGTCTCGTTGTCGTTGTCGCCCATGAAAGGAGACAAACCGCTCAGCCTGAGGACGACAAACACAGACCCAGCTGAACCAGACTGAGAACACGACTGTAAGACACGACGCTAATATGGGGCTGAGCTGAAGAAAAAAAACTTCAATTAAGATAATGACAGGTTGTGTTTTTCATTCAGTATTTCATGTTTCCTGTTTTATTTTGTAGTAACCTCTCCTCTTCCTGTCCCCACAGGTTATAACTGATAATCTATAATAGGCAATATATATATAATTTACAATAGAACTTTTGTAAAATTAAGAATAAAAACAACCTGAAGCTAAAAGGAAATAAAACAAAAACTAATAACAGACTCCTGTATAGACTCACAGTATATAACAGACTCCTATATAGACTGTATAGACTCACAGTATATAACAGACTCCTATATAGACTATATAGACTCACAGTATATAACAGACTCCCATATAGACTGTATAGACTCACAGTATATAACAGATTCCTGTATAGACTCACAGTATATAACAGACTCCTATATAGACTGTATAGACTCACAGTATATAACAGACTCCTATATAGACTGTATAGACTCACAGTATATAACAGACTCCCATATAGACTGTATAGACTCACAGTATATAACAGACTCCTGTATAGACTCACAGTATATAACAGACTCCTATATAGACTGTATAGACTCACAGTATATAACAGACTCCTGCATAGACTGTATAGACTCACAGTATATAACAGACTCCTGTATAGACTCACAGTATATAACAGACTCCCGTATAGACTCACAGTATATAACAGACTCCCGTATAGACTCACAGTATATAACAGACTCCTGTATAGACTCACAGTATATAACAGACTTCTGTATAGACTCACAGTATATAACAGATGACTCTTGTATAGACTCGCAGTATATAACTGACTCCTGTATAGACTCACAGTATATAACAGATGACTCCTGTATAGACTCACAGTATGTAACTGACTCCTGTATAGACTCACAGTATATAACTGACTCCTGTATAGACTCACAGTATGTAACTGACTCCTGTATAGACTCACAGTATATAAAAGATGACTCCTGTATAGACTCACAGTATACAACAGATGACTCCTGTATAGACTCACAGTATACAACTGACTCCTGTATAGACTCACAGTATGTAACTGACTCCTGTATAGACTCACAGTATACAACTGACTCCTGTATAGACTCACAGTATGTAACTGACTCCTGTATAGACTCACAGTATGTAACTGACTCCTGTATAGACTCACAGTATATAACTGACTCCTGTATAGACTCACAGTATACAACAGATGACTCCTGTATAGACTCACAGTATATAACTGACTCCTGTATAGACTCACAGTATGTAACTGACTCCTGTATAGACTCACAGTATATAACTGACTCCTGTATAGACTCACAGTATACAACAGATGACTCCTGTATAGACTCACAGTATATAACTGACTCCTGTATAGACTCACAGTATGTAACTGACTCCTGTATAGACTCACAGTATATAACTGACTCCTGTATAGACTCACAGTATATAACTGACTCCTGTATAGACTCACAGTATGTAACTGACTCCTGTATAGACTCACAGTATATAACAGATGACTCCTGTATAGACTCACAGTATATAACTGACTCCTGTATAGACTCACAGTATATAACTGACTCCTGTATAGACTCACAGTATACAACAGATGACTCCTGTATAGACTCACAGTATATAACTGACTCCTGTATAGACTCACAGTATATAACTGACTCCTGTATAGATTCACAGTATATAACTGACTCCTGTATAGACTCACAGTATGTAACTGACTCCTGTATAGACTCACAGTATATAACAGATGACTCCTGTATAGACTCACAGTATATAACAGATGACTCCTGTATAGACTCACAGTATATAACTGACTCCTGTATAGACTCACAGTATATAACTGACTCCTGTATAGACTCACAGTATATAACAGATGACTCCTATACTCCACATGTCGGTGGGATAACTGATGGCTTCATAATTGATCACCTCCGGAGCCACAAACTCTGGAGTCCCGAACAAAACCTTCAGAGTTCCTGCACTTTCTGTTGAAGGAGAGAGAGAAAAGATTAACTGATATATTGATTATCTATCAATATCACTGACGGAACAGAGGCTCATGTTAACACACAGTTAGCTCGTTAGCTTCACCTAGTCGCCTGGCGAGGCCGAAGTCGATGAGTTTGATCTTGCCGCCGGTCTTGTTGACACACATGATGTTCTCAGGTTTGAGGTCCAGGTGGACGATGCCCTGTTTGTGGATGAAGCTGACTCCGTCGATGATCTGCAGCATGTATTTGATCACTTCTCTTTCCGTCAGCTCAAAGTCTTCGTCGATGATCCGCTCAAACAGCTCGCCACCTGAGATCCTACAGAGCAAACACACCTGGTTGCTACGACAACTCGCGCAGAAAGAATTATTAGCTCCAAACATGAGAGTGAGTGAAACCATCAGCTGTTGATCAAACCTTCTGTACTGAGATATGCTACGTGCTAAGCTAATCTATGTTGAAAAACCATTAGCATTTTGCTAACTTAAAATGTGACTATATATATGTCTCTTTTATCTTTTAATCATCTTCAAATGTGGTGGGGGGTTTTTTCAACATAGATTAGCCTAGCATGTAGCATATCTAAGTACAGGAAACAAGAATTATTTTATTGTATTATTGTAATATTATTATAATGGATCAGCAGGTTGGACTATAATCACAAGTTTGGTCCAAAAGAACGTACAAATTAAAACAAGAGCTGCAAAAGTCTCAGTAATGAAGATATAATCAGATGTAATATAATATAAAGTAATCAGACCTGGGAGGAACGTTGGGAAACTACCAAAATAAGAGTCTGAATGTAAACAACTTCCTTCCTGTTCTGTGTCAGTGTGGATGTTTATCAGTTCCTCCCCGTTTATCTGCTAACATTAAGATCATTAAAGAAAAGAGTTCCAGACAATAAAGACAGAATATTTCTGCAGGATAAGCAGCTCTTATATAACTGAGTGTGTTTGTGCCGTCTGTCCATCACTCCCGTTAGCTCTAAAATTAGCCAGCAGGAAATAGCTGCTCTCAGATTCCTGTCATAGTTGGCCAGAAAGTTATTTTCCAGCGTTCTCCAAAGCAAAAACATCTCGTCTCTGTTTCCAGATCGGAGTCCGACTGCTCCGAGATCAGCTGCAGGTTTATGTTCCTCCGATCGGTCGACAACCGGTCGATCAGAACGTTACCGTGTTAATCAGAGAGCTTTAGCTTGTGGCTAGCTTTGACAGAGCCAGGCTAGCTGCTCTTACCTGTTTCCAGTCTTTATGCTAAGCTAATAAGCTCCTGGCTATAACTTCATGTTGGTTCCTGCTTTAGGGTTCTCACCTGTTTATTATTTATTAAGTGTGTAAGCAGGTTGAACTGAGTACGGGAAGTTAGGATGATATTAATCAATCCCATTAATACTGTTAGGTTAATAAAGTTATTGTCCATTTCAGGAGCATCTCGACGTGTTTACTGACATTTAAATAAAGAACAAACTGCCCTGCAGCTAATGTGTGGAACAGCATGTAGCGGCTGTAAACTGTGATTAGTGTTCATTGTTTTCTGGATGTTTTCTTACTTTAAACTAGTCGACTAATCTAAACTTAAATTTCCGTTTAATCAACAGTGAAATTAGTCGTCAGGAACATCTGTAGTTGTGACTCTCCAGCTACAGTCGTTCACTAACGAGCCAAATATTGATTATATTCTATATATAGATCAGATATTAGCTGTGAGATTCGTTGGTTACGTACATCTCGAGCACCATGACGATGTCAGACTTGCCCTCGAAGGCGTCGATACACTGGACCAGTTTGGGGTGATGGAGGCTGTTCATGATGCCGATCTCCTGCCGGACGTTCTCCTTCTCCTTCGCCGAGTACGCCTTAATGAACTTCCCCGCCCACACCTTCTTCGTGGCCTTCTCTACCAGTTTGAAGACCTGACCGAACTTCCCCCTGTCGCACAAACACACCTTAATGACACTGACAGCTTCACAACACCTGCAGATTCATAACAACAACAACAACAACAACAATAATAATAATACTGATTATCTGTTTGAATTTTCTTTGTGCTCTATAGTAGCGAACTGTTAGCTGATTCAGCTCTAGAAGGTGAGGTGTGAGTGGGAGGAGCCTTACGTTCCCAGCCTCTCCTCCACGTCGTACAGGTCCTTCACCTTCGTGTCCGTCCTGACGCTCACGTCTCTGTAGTCCGGCTCTTTCTCTGAGTCTGACACAGAAACACAGAGGTCAGAGGTCAGAGGTCACTGTATGTGGCACAATATTACATCGTATTATGTTACGTCGTGTTTAGTCACGTTATGCTATGTTATGAGATGTTGTGTTATCGTCGTACCTTCGTCCTCCTCCTCTGCCTCGGCCTCATCCAGGTTCTCTGTCAGACAAACAGTTAGTGAGTTAGTTACTGCTCTGCTTCATTAGTCCTGGTTTAGTGGATGGATTTAGGAATGGAACACACCCCGATTAATCGTCTTCAGAAAGCCTCTGATAGAGCTGTTAGTCTGATACAGCGTTATCCAGCTAACCCTCCACAGACCTCCATTATAACAGACATCTGATAACAGGACACGTCCAACTGCAGACGACTCAGTTACTCTAAATGTAGGAATTTTACTCTGTGAAGGTTTTTATATTTGTAAAAGAGCTTAAAACAGCCAGTGGGAGTCGACTGAGCATCTGCTGCTAACATTAGCGCTGCCTGATGGTGGTGAAGACTACAACTCCCATGATCCCATGCTGCTTCACCGCCTCATCAAACTTCCTCTTGTCTTATTGTTTGGATGTAAGGCCCTCTAGTGGCAGAAATCACACATTGCAGTTTTATTTCACTCACCATCGTCCACCAGTCCGACAGTAACGGGTTCAGATTCAGCACTCGGCTCTCCGACCCCGTAGATGTTCTCCGCCCGGACCCGAAACTTATACTGACGCTCCGGCAGAAGGTTCTACAGACGAGACAGAACTTCAGCCGTTTATCTGCAGACAGGAGACCTGAATGTGTCTGTCTGTACCTTCAGTGACTCACCTGTACGTTGTAGGAGGTGCTGTTGCAGGACACCAGGTGTTTCCACTGCTGGTCCAAAGAGTCCCAGATCTCCAGGTTGTAGGACTGTACGGCGCTGCCTCCGTCGTATGTCGGCCCGTACCATGACAGAGTCAGACTGGCCCGCCGGATATCTGAGGCTGCAGGGACCCTCGCTGGGGGGTCGGGTTTATCTGAGGAGGGGGAGGGGCATTCAGGTCAACAGGGAACTGATCTACAACAGAAAGTCTACAGGTCCATCCTACAGGTGCTCCGGGAGCTCCGGGTGCGTCTTACCGACGATGGTGAGGTTGAGGGCGGCCTGTCGGAGGCCGAAGCTGTTCCTCAGCTCGATGGTGTAACAGCCGCAGTGTTCCTGCTGACCGCTGGAGATGGTGAGTTTACTGCTGCTGTCAGAGCTCTCTATGGAGATATCAGCTGAGCCCTCCTGGATCTGACACACACACACACACACACACACACATTGTTATATGATTGAGATCAAAGAATTTAATCAATAAATTCTACATGAACTAAAACTATGGAGCCGTTATTGTAGATAAACTATTGATCAATGTGAGCGGAGTGTATGTGTGTGCAGACATACAGATCAATGTCTGACAGTCTGATCACACACAGATACAGATACACTCCGCTCACATTGATCAATAGTTTCACTCCATATGAAACTGATCAGTTCCCAGCATGCACTGCAGCATGTGTGTGTGTGTGTGTGTGTGTGTGTGTGTGTGTGTGTGTGTGTCTCACTGGTTTCCTAAACTTCAACCAGGTGCAGTTGATGGGCGGAGCTCCAGAGAACTTGCAGAGGATCTCGACCTTCTCTCCCGCCAGGATCTTCATGTCCTCTGGGAACTGCAGGATCTGAGGAGGCAGAGCTGCACACACACCAACGACCAGCGATCAATAACCAATAACCAATAATCACTGTGCTGTAATGAGGGTGTGTGCGCGTCACCTTGTTTGGGAGGAGTCTTGGCAGTCGGTTTCTTTATTCTGGCTTCACCTGAAACACAAACACAACAGAGGGAATCAAACCTGTGAACTGATCGGATCCACTTCTGGAACATGCTAGCTGCTAGCTAACAGTCCACAGGAAATCAACACCTACAGTCAGCGGCTGGTTAGCCTAGCTTAGCATAAAGGCTGAAAACAGGGGGAAACAGGTAGCTTAGCTTAGCATAAAGACTGTAAACGGGGGGAGCAGGTAGCTTAGCTTAGCATAAAGACTGTAAACGGGGGGAGCAGCTAGCTTAGCTTAGCATAAAGACTGTAAACGGGGGGAGCAGCTAGCTTAG